GAAAACTCAGCAGATGTAGGTATATATGACTAGAAGGAGTAAATACGCGATATTTTGATTATTATGAATTATAATGCATACCTATGTAGTCCCAAAAATAATATTTATGAATAATATGTTTTTACTTTAAATCAAATGAGCTCTAGCTACTAACCAAGATATATTTTTTTTTTATATTTGCGAACACAATATTTTTATAAATGCAACATTTTATGATTCATTATTTTTTACCACGACATCTTTTTACAGCTATTTAATCTTAAAGTAGGTGTTTCGTTTATTCGTATTTATACAACTAAAAGGCACAAGATAACAAACTACGACAACAGAAGTCGTGTTTCGAAATAAAAACTAACAATTCATTAGTTACGAGCATAAGGTTACTAAAGAAATTGATCAAATAAACATTGCAAGCATCGTACTAAATTCGTGCATAAACAGTAAGATTGTCGGACTAGTCGGTGAGATGAGGTAAGCGACCTTAAAAGCCACTTAGTATAGGTACAGTGCGCTCAGTGCCGCATGCTGGTTCTTTTATTCTTCTAATAATAATTTGGACTAAATACAAATTTAATTTAACTTATGAAAATATCATAATGTGTACAATAAATAGGTATATTTTGTCATTTGAGCCTTAACACAACACAGAACACTGACAACGAAATACATTGAACTCGTGTGGCCGTAGCAAAATTTTCCACCTCTAGTGGATATCGAACTGCCACCTATACTTTCGCTACTGTAAATTACTCTTAATATTCCACGTACACGGTAAAAAATAAACTTATACAATTGATAAACATTATAAATTGCTGACCTGAAACCCCAATACTTACACTAGCTAAGTGTATACGAAGAAGCACACAAGTATAATTTTATTACCACTAGCAGCTCACCCTCGCTTCGCTCGGGTTTACCTCTAGGAAAACAAAGGCAACCTATCCCACGGGAACCGTACATTTTTCCGGGATAAAAATTAGCCTATGTGTTATTCCAAACTATAATCTACCTCTTTGCTAAATTTCATCCAGATCCGTTCAGCCGTTCTGGCATGAAAGAGTAACAAACATCCATACATACTCACAAACTTTCACATTTATAATAATAGTATAGATAAGTACCTACTCAGTAATAAATGATTTCACAATATTTTCCAACATGAAAAATTGAAGTTATAATTTTATATAAATTTCCAATTATTATATTAAATTATTTACGTTAAAAAACTCAAGTAGTAGAAATTTTCAGTGCAAGAAATAGGGATGCAGATGAGATCTCTTCAAAAATAAAACAGGTTCCGATGCAAGTTCTTGATATTCACCAAGAGTATAATCTGAAACAACTAATATACTTACATAAATATATTATCAGTTTCCATATAGGATAAATCATTGTAGTTAAACTTTGGCGTCATCTTGAGGTTACATAATTTTTGATAACAATTTAATTATCATTAAATTTACGTGAAAATATATATTGTACCTTCTAAGGAAGTATCTAAACGAGAAAAATGGTATAAATAAATCATAAATTATGCCTTCGTGTTCTTAACTCCGTAAGTCAATTACAGCGATGCGCTTCAAGGAAACTAACTAGTTTCTAAATTCTTCGTACATTTAATTTAACTTAATTGGTGTATGCTAGCCTAGTGTAGTTAGTTGAACAATTTTTTTTAGCTTAGTAACAAAAAAGTGGCTTAATGACTGTAAGCTATTGAACTTTTTTAAAAACCCCCTACGCAAATTAATTGTCATTTAACGATTACACTGGCACGCGTGAAACACTTCATCGAGTACATACGCCATAATGCCTTACGTCATTTAAAAAAAAAGCTGATACTCTTACACTGCTGGACTGATATTAACCAACCATAGCTAAGAACCACCGCAAGAAAACTGGCTTTCAAATGAAAAAACCCTCATCGAAATCGGTCCATCCGTTTGAGAGCTACGATGCCACAGACACACACGCAGACAAACATCGACGTCAAACATACAAAATCCCTCTTTTTTACGTCGGGGGTTAAAATCATGGTATCATGAACTAATTGATATTTTAATAATTTTTTAAATATTTATTTCAAGTCTAAGAATAATTCTAATATTTTAAGAGTTGCATAAATTTCACATTCTTACTATCATAACAAAAATTAACCTTAAATATACACTCATACAGATTAGTGTGTATATTATATATTGAAGCATATGAATCTTAATGAATGATACAGGAAACTTGACGCGTGCGCAGTGAACTGATGTCGAGATGAGCTGCGTAGGCGCACCCCGGCTGACTTATTTATTGTTCAACAATTGGTTATTCAACGTACAGTTAAGGAGCAAGGACTTGTTTGGTGTTCCTCTTACGTTTTGCAAATACATAAATAATAAATTAACAAACATAATATGTACACCATACTCGTATATCTGTATGTAAGAAATAGAATTTAAAGGAATAATTTAGAGTAAATTTTTTAATAATACCGTGAAAATCAAAGAAGCATCTCTTCATGTCTATGTTATTAAGTTTAAAGAAGGCGTGAGTTGTGGTGAACGGTTTGTGCTTGTCCGCGATTGGTAAACGAATTATTGCTGTGTGCCTGGCTATACTAATTATGTGAATGTATGAGTGTTGCGTTTGGCGTGGGACGAAGCAGTGCATTTTTTGCGGGCATAAGATATAAGGAAGGTCGTTGATCTTCATTGCTTGTCTCGAGGACACCAAATTCACCAACGAAGCGCATCTTTTTCATATTACAACTAAATTATTTTTTTGCGAAATACTGGTATGAACATTTCTAATTTTTATTTCAACAATAATTTAAAAGAATTAAATATTTCTAATTTATATATTAAATACTCTAACAAGAAGTACTGTGAATTATTGGTTACTAAGTTTAGTTCTTAAATTAATATCATAAGTTTTAAAAAGTTGACATATTTGCCGCGGCGACTTTTAATTGTAAAATATATATAATGTAAGTAACCGAAAGACAAACCTTGATTTATTATATAGCGAATACCTAGTGAAAATTCTTTTAAGAACATAGATAGGTACGTGAGAGGGCCAATGATATTATGAAAATCATCTACATTGATGTAATTATCATTAATATAACATTGAGAATTACAATCCTAAATAATATAGTGCATGATTCTTGCAGTTCTTATTGAATTTCATTCATCCGACTAGAACATGTGACGGACTAGACGCAATAAAGCACTAGGCGGGCGGCGGCTTCAAACGAACAGAATACGCACCATGAATTCTAAGTAGTGATTTTCTTGCAAAATTTACAATAATATAGAAAGAATGTACATTTTAACACGCTTTTATTTATTTTCACTTATAACTAACTTTGTTATCAAATCGCGGAAGCTAATTTTACCCTACTTCTAGTTGGATTGATTTAAATTATTTTTAATGTGTTGACTCATTGATATCGTTAAATAATTTGGTTATTATGTCTATATAATATTTTTCCTCTTTAAATATTATTAAACGTAAATATACATAGTTTTCCGTAATGCCATGAAAAGCTCGTATTATAAATAAACCCACGGCATCGCTTGTTATAGGTATACTGATATAGTCTATCTGTTAATGTGCCGATATTAGTATATAAGCTATCTCCACTCAGTCAAATCCTCTGCAGTTACAACGTAAAGAAGTAACATATGAACATACGCACATAATCACTCGCATAAACTTTCATATTTATTATATTTATGTGATTGGTAAAAAATATAATAGGTATATAATGATCGCCAAAACTGTATAAACGAATCTCTACATGTCACGCTTGAAGACGCTCAACACAAAAACGAACTCACGTCGTCATCGTGACTGCGGCGCGGTCTGTATTATCTTGTATGTACTAGGCTATACCAGTAAAGAAATCATTCTCAATTTGCTGTTTTCAGACGAAAAATAACACTAAACCCTCCTTGACTTTTACGCCACAGATTCCACATTGGGTATCGCAGTCGATACTGCTCACCTTATGTAATACCCTCTCTGATCCTGTCCGATTTCATAATGTCTTCGTTCTCTATTCTGTTTGTGTTGGCTTTCCCAGATTCTTAAGTGCAGTCTGCATTTTCCTTTAATATTATATAGCACTATTTTGATTAAAAGTATTTGATACTACAAATAATAAAAGAAATAATATTTATTTTTGCCATGTGGCTATTTAGTGTTTTTATACCATAATGGATAAGTATAAAAAAATAATGGATAAATATAAAAATACCTACAAACATCATGTTTAAATAACTAAATTTTATACTGAACGAAAAAATCTATACTAATATTATAAAGAGGTAAATTTTGTGAGGTTGTAGGGGGTAATCTCTGGATCTACTGAACCGATTTAGATGAAATGTGATAAGAAGATAGTTTGAGACTCTGGGAAGGACATAGGATATTTTTTATCCCGGAAATCATCCCTTAACGGGGTGAAATTTTGTATTGGGAAGCAAGCTAGGGACGAACCAGAGCGAAGCGAGGGTGACTCGCTAGTAATAAATAAATGTAAAATATACCTGTATTTTACATTTACTAATAATTTTTTCGTAAATTTAAATTAATAACATTTTATCTCTATCATTATTAGTACTTGTTTTATATATTTGAGTAATCCTATTAAGTATTCTTCAACTTAATCAATTTGAAATTGATTTTAAAGCTCTTCACTGTTCCCATTCCGGATTAAGCGCAATATTGCAAAGCGATCGGTTAGCGTGTCCTCGGACAGGTCACGCGCAGTACGAAAACTCGTTCGTGCACACTTTCACCGGGCTTCTCTTGCGCCCGCGCCTTCACCAGGCGCCAATCTCGCGCACTCGCTTGCACATCGAATAAGTAGATAGCGAACCCCCTTTCCATGCAATGCACTTCCTTATAAGTATGTCATTTATTATTATTTTAGACGCTAGTCAAGCTCTATATTGTAAATTCAGAGTCATAAGCCCTATTATTGCAGTTATTATTAATAAAGTAGAATGCTCATAAAGTCCAATTGTATTGGTGGTGCTGCCTCATGTCAGTAGGTAGTGTTTGAGAGTTAAATATATTATAGTTAATTTAAGATAATTTCATTCCTTTTGTCGCTTTATTTTATAAAGTATACCAAAACAATACGTTGACCGGTTAAAATTGAAGATCGGGGAGGCCGAAAGTGTGGCAGTGGCGAAAAGCTCGCAACTGCATGAGGAGAAAGGAAGCGGCGCGCCGCGCGGTGTGATAAGGCAGCCGGCTGGCGTCGCGCGGCGCGTCGGGGGTCGGGGGGCGCTCGGCGGGGTGGGGATGTGCGGGGGGCGTGCAGCGGGGGTGCGGGGTGAGGGGTGCGCGCGCAGCGACGCCCCGCGCCGCGCCGCTCGCCTCCCGTCAGTCGCCCGCCGACTCCGCTTGTGCTTGTGTGACTCGCGCCGCTCTGTGCACCGCACTCGTGCTCCGAACACGACGCGTGCCGCCCTGCCTGTGGCCGCGAACGCGAACTCTACGCTACCGGCGACTCGTTTTTCCCAATTTACGTGCGACTTGCTATGATTTGACTTTTGAACATTTACGCTCCCTTACCCGGCTTGTTTGTCCCTCATCATGTAAGTGTTATCGCTCATAATATTAGAAACGTTCGTAATCGTCGAATTCGGAACTCGCGTCAAAGTGAGCATCGTGAAAGTTTGTGAATAAAGAGTAGTGTACAAATGCTATGATAATCTCGTGTGCTTCGTACAACTTGTGTTTTAGTATAATGTGATACCGGACAATTGGTGACGATTTCCGAAATTCGACAGAATATTAGAAATAAGTAGCGCGGTTAGTGTTAGAGTGGCAATATGTGCTAATTCGACAATCGCACTCTGACGTGGACTGTGTCCCCGCATGAGAGCTTTCGTATTGGGTAACTGGACTTGACGGCAATTCGCCGACTCGCATTATGCACGAGAGCCCGGATTTAACTTCTCTATTACTCGCTAAGTAACAATAACTAATATCAATTAGAACGCAAAAAATCTACATTTGGATCTTTTAAAACACACTCCATGAAGTCTTATTACGTCACTTTAATATATATTTTTCTCATTTTTAAGTAAGCTAAAATTTAATATAAGTGCATGTCATAATTTTAAGTTAACGAAAAAAACGCAAAAAAAATTAAACTATTCTTTATAAAATACTCAAATATGCCATAAAAGGCATATAATGTTACAATTGCAAAGATTCGTGTTTTAAAACTACGATAAAACTTGTTACTCTACTAAAATTAACCATCAACGAGATCCAAAATTAGTCGACAATATAAAAATAGTTATATAAAAACCATAAGGCAAATATAAGTTAAAAAAGAATAAAAATAAATTTCCAAAAAAGAAAATATATTAACATGTAAAAAATTATGGTTATTAATTCATCTTAACGGTTGCCTAAAAATTGTTTAGTATTCATTAAGATCATGTTATTCTCAGTAATATTATATTGGTTACAAATCCCATAATATAAAAATTGTAGGCAAAATTTTCGTACTTTCTTATATTTTATTTTTATAAATGTTAAAATTATTATCTTTATAAATGATAAATTAAAATATTTTAATACACTAAGTTTTTGCCCTGGCTAAATGTTTTGTTAAACACGTATTACATATTAGTTCTTATATTAATCAAAAAATATGCGTATATTCCTGAAGATAAAGATTCGTGATCTTTTAAAATTTAAAGTGCATGTAAAGATTTATACTAATACAGGAATAAGCAAGTTAAATAAAGTTATTTTATATGCAAATCCCAATAAAATACTGATCCTAAACTGACCAGAATAAATAATTTAAACTTTACAAATGGTGCGTGGGTTAATCTTGAAAATTCTCAGTATATTGGATCAGCTAAGCTCCACAATGGTCTGTTTGCACCGTTTCATCTACGGGGGTAACAGCTGGCTCCGCTACCTGCTCACAACAATGAAACCTCTGTCAATAGAGCTCTTTCTACTACAATATTTTTGTTTTATTTTATTATTTCAAATTTTCAAACGCAAAAGACTAACAGATATTCATACAAGTAAAATTATTCGCCATAGTACAGAAAGCGTTATACTAATATGTAATCACAAAAAACTTTATTCAATAAAACTATCATTAAATTCCATACATATTCCATATCACACTGATTTTAAGTAGGTAAATGTAATGGTTATCAAAATGCACTAGACTTCGAGCGTACGCTCGAGCTATTACAGCAAAGATTTTTTTATCTTATCTTTGTAAAAAATAAACGGATATGACACCCAAGTCTAAGTTGCAGATTACGTGACTAAATTAATCACTGATAAGGCCTTTATTATGTTTCTATAAAAGTAGGGGAAAACCTGTTTTATTTTAGACAAGTCAGTTAGTAAGTTTAATTTTACTGGTAGTGCTTATGTAAAAATGTAAACCTTTGTCGAACAATTCAGTTCTAAAACTGCGAAAAATTTTCCAGTACGTCTCGTACTTTAAGTACAGATAAAATCAAAAAGCTAAGTTACACTCCCCAAGGTCTCAGACAAAAAAGTGTTTCTTTTATCATTTCTGACGCAATTACTTGATGTCAGCATGCTACACGGAGCTCTCAAGTTCCCAAGCAATCGTCGCAACATGCTCGATAAGGCGTGCACATTAACGACTGTGCTGCAGCGATAGCGGCGGAATCGTGTAATTTGCGCCTCGTAAATTTTAAACCGTCGCAAATTTTTCGCCTCTCTTGCTAATTACTAGTCTGCTGGCATCCCCAGAGGCTGCTTAATGTGCTTCGTACATGTCCCGAATGCGAGAACAGGACTAGTTGCAATCTGCTCCGAGCAGGTAACAATAGCCTTTGTTTTGACTGCCGGAACTGACCTACGTGCTCGACTAATAATTCGATTTGCTTTGCACAATATTTGCATGAGTTTGTCCAGACTAGGTAACTCATTATATTAATAAAGTTATTGTAATCCTTGTTGGAAAATAATTATTCATAATATTCCTTTACTGTGCGAATTATTATTTGCATTTAAATATAATATTAAGGAAAAATATAAAATTATTAACAAAACAATAACCAGAAAAGATTTCAAGTTCTGAGTCAGCCAACACGCATGGCCAGCGAATGTAGAGCCGTGCGCAGAATAACCAATGACGATCCATATAGATGACGACACAGTGACTTATGAATTCTTCTTCTTAATTTCATTTAAGCTGTTTTTATAGTGTTGTTCCCAAGTCATTTGTTAAATCAAATAACTCTGTTCAAATACTCGATGACATATTATGTATTTTATTGAAGCAATTTTTGCATTCTAGACTTCGATATCGCAGTTTATTCTTATTTTTTTTAATCCCTTCTAAATTCAAACGAGCTATCTAAAAGAAATATTACTAGATGCAGCGGTTTTGTTTTTCACTTATTTCATTTAACTAAAATTTCAATGGATGAATTAATACAGATAATCTCTGTAGTTTGTATCAAACTTGCAGCAATGAACTGCGTATTGTAATCAAAAAACTAATGTGGTAGAATTTTAATAAATCATTCTGAAAGACAGTGATAAGTACAAGGTTTTTATAGATTAAATTAGTAAATTCATCTGTAACAAAATTCATTAGCATTAAATATAAAACTAAGTATCTCTACAATTTAGTATTTAATTATATATCATTACAAGATTTTCTTTCCAATGAACGTGAAAGATTATTTTTTACAATTTTTAGTTATATCGAGTAAAGAATAGTTCATCCCTTACATACCTTTAAACTGTTAAATTAGACAAAACATCTTCCATAAAGTCAATAAATTAATTATTACTTATAGAGTCGAAACGAGGTGCTAAAAGTTTTTCCAATGATTATCTAAGTGTTCTTTGATTAAGTAGACTATTTATTTTCGACAATCATCGTTACAATATTTTTCATATAAGTAAGTACAATGTCCCAAAATATTTAATACTAGCGACTCACCCTCGCTTCGCTTGGGTTCGTCTCTATTCTCTATTGTTCGTCCCGGTTCTTCCCCATTTATACTTTCACCCCCATTTTCATCCCCTTAAAGGATGATTTCCGGGATAAAAACTGTCCTATGTTATTTCTTGGGTCTCAAACTATCTTCTTATCAAATTTTATTAAAATCGGTTCAGTAGTTTTTTGATTTCAAATAAACAAAAAATCTAATCGTTCCTCTTTATAATATTAGTATAGATATAGATTTGTACTCCAATACTTTTGTTATACTTAATATTCTGCTATTAATTTGACCTATTAAATTGGCCTTCTTGGTCTTTAGAATGTGTCACGGCTTCAATCGAGCATATCGAAGGTAATCGTAATCGTTGATAGTTTTTTCGTGAACGGCGCGGGCGTCTGCAACCGGCTCGGGCTCGACGGAGCGCGACACCACTGCCCAAGGTCGTCTCCCGCTTTTGTCTGCTTTATTTTCCGCTTAATTATTTGATAAACTCGTCCAGGAACAGTTTTTACCTTCCAGCCTGATGTCGTTCTGTTTCTGTTTTTCTTACAGTATTCTACTTCAAGCTAGAATAACAAAGGAATACAAACTTAAACCAATTTGGTTTTTGTGGATAAATAAATAATTCGAAGTCAATTGTGTTACGCCTACATTGTATGAGGTAAATGGGAATTTTAATGTAATACTTCCTTGTCGTATTCATTGTGCCTAGTTTGTGCCTTGTTCAAGTTTTCGATCATTATGAATTTAATAAAATTCGGTTTAAATGTCATCGAAGCCTAATTGAAAGTAACTGTAATTGTGTAAGGATCTTAATCCCTCAACGGACACGCCGGCGTTACAGTTAACAATAGATTTCTTAGAAATTTTATTTAATTTCTTAGAAATTTACCTGCAGGTGTTAAAACAAATAATAGGTATCATTATAATCATACGTCTATTCTTTCGTGCGAAATATTAATTTTAATTGAATTATATACTTAAATAACAATAACATACCTATGTACAATTGGTAAAGCTCTATGAATTGAAAATAATAAAGTAGATTTTTTAACGATATAGTTGTATTTTACTATAAATTTAACAATTACTTAAATAAAAATATGTATAAAGGTATACAGATGATAATAAAATTCTAAATATCACAAAATGTCATATTCCAAAGTTCATTCTTACGTGGGCAACTGCAGAAAGCGAAAGGTGCGGTTGAATGTGGTAATTTTACATATACATTTACCAGTATGCTCAGGCGTTGTTTTGTAATCTGTATGTAACGTTTCTTTAAAAAAATATTCAAGATATCATATTTAGTTTAGATTAATAATAATTTCTATAAACCCATCATAAGACGCTGTTTGCATTCTAATTGTCTTGATAGCTTAGTGGTGAGAGCGCCCTCCGCGGCGGTGGGAGGCCCAGGTTCGAGTCCCGGTCAAGACCTTGAATGTGAAGAGTGATTAAGCTAATCTGTATCCATTATTATTACATTTCGCCGCACTCTTTGCTTACCTCATAAACGTATTTCTCGATTACAACTTGATCGAATTGCCGATCACAAAGGCTTCAGCCCAACTGTTTTTTCTCCCTCCCCTCCCCCTCCGTCCTACCCTCGTGCCCGACCGCTTTCACGAGATTCTTATTTAGATTCGCTTCCGTCTGATTGCTCTTGGTAATCTTTTCACTGGGTTATTGAATGTCTTCCCTGTGCGTGTCGAGCATCTAAGAAACTCAGCCAGCGGCGCCACCGCTGTGAAAGGAATCAGACGCTGATATCCTTTGACGGCACCATTTTCAGATTCTTGTTTAATGCTCTACAGAAAACGCTGTCCATTTGCTTTGAATTCGTTTACTTGTGTGTGCATGTTAGGATTACATTTTGGATTCAACTCGTTTTCTTTCATATTATTCCGACTGATATAACGATTTCAAATAAAAATTGTGAAATAATGTTAGTTATTTTACATATTATTAAACTATATATTTTATATTTACAGACCAACTCATTTTGGAAAAAACAAAAGCATTTGATTTTAAAACGATTAGGACTTAAATAATAATAATTGAAAAATAAACCTACGATAACTATTCAAGTAAAGTAATTTATTGTAACTGTAAGAATTTGACCAATACCAATAATAGTATTGATAATTTTTATAAAGAACTAGCAGTATCCGCGGCTACGCCCGCGTTCTAACGTCCAATCGCTACCAAACTTCACAGGATCACTCGCTGGGCTAATTAATCTGTTATCTGAAGATTGTCTGAAAATTTCATCAAAATCCCTCCCGCCGTTTTTTATTATATAGGGAACATACTTACATATCGATTTTTATATATACATATATATGTAGATATCATTGTATCGGGAATATTACGATAACAATATGTGTGGTAGTACCTATCTATCATATATTTTGGAAAAAAAATCTCTATATGTTATAATATCATGGCCTTTAAATATAGAATAAAAAAATCAACACGTTGTTGTATTTAAATAAAAATAAAATTTGAAGATTATGCCCGATGAAGAGCGCGACGTTGCGTTGCCTCACACTGAGCTATTTTCAAATGGGGTATGCTTTAAATAGCGCATTACGATAGGATTTGGTTTCACGAGATTTTCCCTGTTACCGGCCCCAGACATTCACGTTTTCTACTCCCACATAAAAATTTTGTACCTCAAACATTTGCATTCTCACACTATTATTTATTATTTCCTTACCGAAGACACTATAAATTCTGGTACTTATATACTGTACGTTGTATTTTCTGTAATCATTAATTTTTGTCTAAAAGTATCTAATGATCATTATGACGCCAACGTTTACGTCTTAAGACTGGCTTGCGTTATTATTGGTGCGACACCTGTTTACTCTTCACCTGCCACTGCCTATCCTAAAACAGAACAGTGATCATCAAATATTTAAAACTTTAGTGATTGTACATAAATATTATTTATAGTAACATTTATAATAATACTTTCTTAGATTTACGCGAATATTTGACATTTTAAATAAAACTATCCGAAAAGATAGTTTTATTTAAAATAACATTTATAAGATAAATATAATTTCCATCTAAAATTAAATAATATTTTTACTATATCCTCAACACTTTCATAATGACACGAAATATATTTAATATAATGTTTTTTTTAAGAATAAAGTAATTTTAATATTGATAGTGTAAGGGCAAAAATGTGGTCAATATTAAGTGAAAATATTATTAATCAAATAGTAATTTATAACATCGAGCTAAAATATAACTACAATATATGTAGCTACTTGAACATAGTAAACAGCGCAGGCCTAAGAACGGTCAACGCGCTTGCTTGTTAACCCGGTAGCCGCTTGTGCTTGGCTCCGGGGCGAACCTCCCGGAGAGTAACATGTGTGTTTTGTTGTTCGCAGAGTTGAATCCCGCATCGCACCGGCTTGCTCGCTGACCGCCGGGCCGCTAATCTCGCTTTTTCCGCGCCCTACCGTCGCCTGCCCAGACCCCGCACCGGCTGCCGCCGCCATGCTCGCGCACCAAGCACCGCTCGCCCTCTACTAAAATCAACCGTCAACATCGATACGAACGCGTGTGATAATATTTTAATACTTGCCTAAATAAGCTTGCAACGTCGGTGTCTTTGATTCTAACCTAATTTTAAGATTAATAATTTAGCATTTAATATTTGGTCGTACCGCGTGCTTATCACTGCGGTGTTTCGTGTTCCTGCGCGTGTGTAGAAGTGTGTGTTGTGAAGGGTGCGCGAGCGCCAAGTGGTCACGAATCGGCTAACAGCGAGAAAGTGAGAAGTGCATGTTAGGAGCGCGCAGGCGCGCTCGCTCACCGCTGCATATGCGCCGCACTCGCTCCGCGTAACTGTGCGCGCTCTTCCTACCCCCGAACATAGTGGCAACAATGGCAACCATGGTGAACATGAATAGCCTCCTGAACGGAAAAGACTCTCGTTGGCTGCAACTCGAAGTGTGCCGCGAGTTCCAACGCAATAAGTGCTCGCGACCCGACACTGAGTGCAAGTTCGCGCATCCTCCGGCCACCGTTGAAGTGCAGAATGGAAGAGTCACCGCTTGCTATGATAGTATCAAGGTAAGGTTCTTTTTACTATTGACATTAAATTGTGACCAATTTACAGATGTATTACAATTAGGTAAACGGGCAATAGAAGTCCGCTAATTTTACACAATGACTTTGGGTGTGAAATATGATAATAACGTCTTTATTTTCCTGTATTTAATCATATTGTAATTTCATTTAAACAGCAGAAGTAAAACATATATATTTAATACTTGGCACTCACCCTCGCTTCGCTCGGGTTCGGGGTCTACTATACATTATATGTAATGTATAGGTACTTTATAATATGTCTAGTTACATTTTTTTTTTGAACGGATCCCTAATTATTTTACTAAAATAAAAGTAGCTTACGTTACTCCTTATAACATCAACTACCTGGCAGTGACAGTCCCGCCAAAATTGGCCCAGCCGTTTCGAAGATTACAAAGAGACACACAGTTTAGTAAAAAGCTGTTATTTTGACCTTACAAACAGACACTTCAATTTTATTTATTTGTATAGTTTTATATATAATTTTAATGGACGTAATATCAAAAAGATTTAATATCATCTACGTCGAATGAAAGAAGTAACAAATGTAATTTCAACAATTCTAAGAAAGACACAAAGTGCAGAAATCTCAGCATAATAACGAAATTTTCATACACACAAATACATTCTATAGAAACTCCATTTTCCTGTAACACGAACATCCTAAATGTCAAATAAATGTTCAGGTATAAAAAAAGTATTTACAAATTATCCCTTTTCCGTAGGAAGTCTTTGTTTTCCAAATCTATACCTACATATAATAATATTGTAACTAAGCCAAAACTGTACATTAAATATTTCTTGGAAAATCTTATTGCAATAAACATTATTATCGACGCAGAGGTCGAATCTATAGTTTTTAGAATTTGTGTCTGTCTGTCTGTTACCGCATCACAGAAAAACCACTGGAGGGATTTTGATGAAATTAAGATGATTTAAGATGAATTAAGATGATTTTTGATAATAAATAATAAAATGTTAAGAATAGTCTATTGGAATAAAGGCAGTAGTTGTGAATTTGATATACATATTAAAAAATTGTAACCAAGCCGAATCTGTACATTAAATATTTTCTGGAAAATCTTATTGAAACAAATATTATTATCGATGCAGAGGCCGAATCTATAATTTTTTGAATTTTTGTCTGTCTGTCTGTTACCGCATCACAGAAAAACCACTGGAGGGATTTTGAAATTGGGTATGGTGATAGCTGGTTATCCGGGTCAACATATAGGATACTTTTTACCGCGGATAAATGTCTCATTTCTGCGAAAAAATACAAAAACTGCAATGTAAGAGTATACTAATATGTAAAACCTAAGAATTTGGTTTTTGGTCATCTGAACGCGGGCGGAGCCGCGGGCAATGCTAGTCCAAAATATTACCTTTCTGTTTTAAAGACTATTATTATAACAAGATAGGATTTAATGATGAACGTAAAATTATCATAAAAATACAGACACATTATAATATTTTTATTATACTAGTGACCCGAACTGATGTAGTTGTTATTTTACTTGACTTAATATTATGAATGTAAAATTAACTTGCTTATAACGTTTTTGAGGAGTTAATGCTTCAATGCCTCAATTAGTCATAATAAAAATATTTATGCATTTATGATGAAGAGAAAGTCATAGGCTAAGTTTTATAGCTTCTTATTGATAGTCTATGTATTATATTAACAATATACAGTGTTAAAATATAAATTATAATATTAAACAAATATATAATTTACAAAAAATAAAAAGCCCGTGTGCGTGAAAAGCAAACTAAAAAGATGAGAACAAGTTGACGAAGGAACATACATGTAGTCGGAGACATACACGCATTCAGCTATTATAAAATATGTATATACATATTATTGTCAACTTGTCCTTTTACTTCGTCAACTTGCTCTCATCTTTAGAGTTCGCTTATTGCGCAGTCGGTTTTTTTTTTTATATTTTTGTAAAGTATTTGCTTATTGACAGCTTTTTAGTTTGGGTCAGTTAGACATTTTTGTTTTCATTTAACAATTTCTTTACCTTAGAAGTTATTTTTAAACATAGAAGTTGTATATATTTTTGTAATCGCCTCTTGAAAACTTGTATTTTGATACTCCACTCGATTGATCCGGACGAAAATAAATTTCTCGAGACACAAATTGCCGCATAAAATCCGCGATTTTGATTTATCATGACATCACTATATAATCTATGACACTCGCGTTATCAAGACGAATCTAACAACGTATGTAAATCGGCTAAGCCGTTTAGTAGAACATAGGGTCGGACATACATGTAAACCGGTCAAACATATAACCCTCCTTTGAGCTTTGCCGCAATCGGGTAAACAAGAGTATGTAATGCATAGTTATGAAGTTTTATTGATTTTATCATATATATGTTTAGGTAGACACAATACTAATGACGAACAACAACATCGCGACAATAAACGCACCAGATAATATCAAAAAATGATTAGATAGGTAACTGCCTACTTATGTTTTATGGAATGAGTATACAAAAGACTTATATTATATTTAACATAATACGTCACAAAACAATAAGTAACTTTTATTTCGATTTTATTTATATACTTAATATTATTTTATTATATAAAATAAAATGTTTCGCTTAGTAAATTTGGCTTCACCATATTTTTCTATAGAATCAGTTGCACATATCTTCAAAAACGTAACAATGATTTTCTGGTTGAATTAGACAACGCTTGAGACTACATTTTCATCGCCGCCATTTCGAGCACCGACCTCAATTCCAAGGCTAGCCTGGAGTGACGTCACCCGCCCCACCGTAACCACCGTCTACCATTGTATGGGAATTGGCATCGGGCTAACATAATGAACAGGACGATGACTCGGCGGCGCCTTGACTTATTATAGTTTTTCTAATCTATATATTCGGAAGTTGCTTGTTATATGCGAGTATTTAGCAACCATTTTGATTGTTAGTTATTGTTCAAGTATTATCTTAATCTGATACCACTTTTCTCACTACTTTTGGGCAACTCTGCCTAATTTATTAAATTACAGAGCGAAATAATTTTATTATCAGACTTTTATCTCGTGTAAAAGTAAATCGGTACATTTTTAACCATACACTATACAATATATTACTTTATCGGCCAGTTTGCGGGGGCTTTCTGTGATACGGTGTTATCAGTTCGTATGAATGACGTGGTAATGTTTATTTTGCGAATATAAAAATATTTTAACGTAACCCACTATTTCATTTTAAATATGTAGATTGTAGGTATTATTACGTATTACATATAAACAATTAATAGATTCAGCTAATCCAAATGATTTTTAGCGGATAAATCATCTTGCAAAGCATTATAAATGTAATAATAGTAATATCAAACTTACGTTTTTACGATCCAAAGTAAACAAAGGGATAACGTTAGAAGCTTTTTTCGTTATATATCACCACATATTTTCCTTTGCTGCTTGGTTGACTAACGCGATCAAGAGATAAAAGGCAAGGAGTAGGAGCGAAGAACGCTTACTCGGCACGATTTCCACGGCTTTCGTCTTGATTGTCCGCACTGTGTTTCAATAACTCGTTCGGTGCGTCGTAACTTTACCTTTTGCGTGGCTGTCAGCTCCTCCGCATTGTCCGTGGGCGGCAGAAGACACTAGCGAAACTGACAAAATACTAAATAGCTTTCGTCACGATTCTCGTTTTCATCACTTTCACTTTATGAAAATAATCTATTGATGTATCTACAATTTTAACGACATTTTAATTATCACCATTCATTGCATCAACGGAAGCTGTCTACTTAACGTTGAATATGAGTTATGACGATGAGTATGAATCTTGCAGTCGTTCTAAACCAGCTAAAAAGCACCAGTAATACGAGAACAAAATGACTCACGATTACGTTCTTTTTGTAATATACGTACATACATATACATAGGTACGATATAGCCGGAAGATATATTTTTTAAAGCCGTCCTAACTTATATATAAAACATTGAATAGCTTTATAAAAGGAAGTTGATTGTTTTATTTTGTTCGATGATCAACACAAAACCAATACCTTTAAACTAGTCGTGTTTAGCCCAAGACATTAAACAATAGACAAAAGCAGAATGTATTGTGTTGGCTTTATGCATCGTAGTATCGCCGTACAACAATGGACTTGCCGCAGACTGGGCGCATGCTGCTGTGCAGTCACCGACTTATCTTTGATTCTGGTGCTATCTTGATCTGCTAACTAATTAAATCTCAATAATTAAAACTGAAATAAATTTTCTTATTATAATGATGATCTTATGTAATTGTAACCTGAGTACTTGTTATGAATTGCGTAGATGACTAATTAGTTTTGTAATATATTTTTTGTTATATAGATATTTTGTTATATAAAGCTGTAAATCATTACTTATATATCAAATGCAAAGGTATTAGTCAATCCAGCTATAAATAGAGCTGATATATTTGCGATGAAGTCCGCCATCTTAGTGCAAATTGTCACCACATGTACCAAACGCAATCGAGAGCTGATCAAACAAGCCGCCCTCGCCCGCATCCCGCCGCGACGCGAAAACGTCTCTCGTGATTAAGCCTTCAATTACGCGATATGACGACGGGGTCATATTTGATTAGGCTACGTGTTGTGTTAATTAAAACGAGCTTATTGCCTTATTCACTTACCCTTATCCGCGTTTAAGCCAAACTTCTCCAACCAGAAGTTCACCAAACCAGATTTTCATATTGGTACATACGCATATAAGGTGGCTGGGAGTGTCGTCATTTGGCATTAAAACTGGCCGTGGATCAGTGACCAAATTCGACGAGCTCAATATGGATAACGCAACCGCCATATTTATAATATAAACGCCTACGTTATTCTATGACTAGTTTCAATATTGGTTATTGCTAAAGTTTGTTTAAAAATAATTGTTTATTTAATATTAACATAACTACTACTTTATTTAAAATATGAATGTGTTTTGTAACATTGTGTCTGCTCTTTCGTGTGCAATACTGATAACATAGACAATAAAGCATGCAGATATTCTGTGAGCGTCCCATGGGAGACATTAAAACGTGAAAAGCCGACGATGCCACAGTCGCATCAGATCAACCTGATGTACAAAAAATAAATTGTATTTTATGTTATAAAATCGGTATTTCGATATGGAATTATATACTTACGCTGGTAATATATATAATATATATATATATATATATATATATATATATATAATTTTTTGTCAATTTACTAGTATATATGTAGGCTCAGCTCTTAAAATGTTACATAAGAGAAGTTTTATAATTTAATGATATAATTGACAAAAGAATTGAGCGTTGATTGTGTCACGAATTTGACGTAGTCTCAGCTACCTACTTGTTAAGTCAACCAGACACTGACATCATCGCTAACACTTGCACTGTTTTGTTTATCTTTTTCCTTATGAACTAAAAATTTAGTCAATTTTATTTATCAATATATACCCAATTAATAATTATTGACTATTGGCCAGTCAATTTACTTATTTCTTTTTTTTAATTAAAAATAGCAAATTACATTTAAAAATTAAAAATAGAGTGCAATTTAGCAAATTTACAAGAAAGAAACAATTAAATTACTTAAATCATCATTTTTAAAGAAAGGGGTAGGTTTAGAATAGAAATTTCGAATTATTCTTTAATCAAAGACAAATTCAGCACTAACAGTAGGTAATTGTGTTTATACAATACATACACATGTAAATAGGCATGAAACGATTTATTTTAATCACATATTACATTTTGGGCATTTTTGTGATAGTAGTACCGATAGATTGATACCTAATGCTCGACTAAACGATTCAAAAATACTCTGTACAATGATCTATACCCACGCATCTACTTTCAACATGCCAACATAGAAACTAAATATAGATTAATCCTAACACAATCTATACACTTTTAAAACATTTATTTTTAGTATAATACATATTAGCTAACATCACATGATTTGTTAATTTTTTTTTTAAATACTTTTCGAAAATCACAAAGTCAATTCCGTTACTAACCTTTAAAAATGAATCATCCATTCAAAAGAGGAAAACTAGTCTAAACGCAGCCTACGAATCGATAAGTCCGGTTTTATTTGGCCTTTTTTTAGTATTTTTAGAGTTTGGCCGCCAAGTGTTCCGCTGCAAAACATTTGGAGCATTTAAAAGCTGCCAGTAATCTCAAGTTGCGCTTTGTTCGGTATGCCAGAGTTGTTTCACAGGTTGCGAACTTTGCGGCCGACCGCGTGCCTGGCCTCCCGCGCCGATTGATGGCTCTTTCTCTATCCGCCTATTCATTGTTCCCGTAGAGCGATAGAGTCATGTGGACGAACAATATGCTAACGGTAACCGATCAAAGAAAGTCTCAGGGCAATTTATGCATAGTATATATATATATATATATATATATATATATATATATATTCTTAAAATGTCACGAAATACGTCACAAAATCAGTGTTTGTCTATTTTATTTACATGGATATTTTTATTCACAATATGAATACGATATTCTTCATATATAAGCAATTCAAAAATTTAATAAACCTAGTAACTTTCACATACCGTGATAAGTAGACTGTCACGTTTCGTTCACTCGCCGGTTTCGCCACTCTCCGTCTAAATTGGCCTCCGATTGGAATCGTGCGCTCCTTGCACTAGCCGATAATTTGCTATTACAACATCTGAAAAATATTTTATTCTTTGTTCAACTTAAATTCCCCTTTATCCTTGCAAATAAAAAATATTTTGTTTTATTGCTTGTGGCTATTTTTATTTAGTATGATCATCCTCGTACGTAATTCAAATGCCATCACTTTAAAATAATATTCAGAAGAAAAATGACGCGCGAGCGAAAATCTTTACTTTCTAAAAACGTTAGTCTCTAAATTTAATCTTTCCACCGAGAGCAGATCGTGGATGAAAAATACTGTCGTGCCGTGTCCATTAGGCAAAGTGTATTTTTAAACAGCGCTCACGCTTTTGTAGATTTTATTTTACATCCAACTGATATTATCTCCCCTTCTTTTTGATATTTAATTACCTTGGAGACATCTATTGCTAATAATTTTTATCTACTAGGTACTTATTACAATTATTATTACTAATTTTTGAGTCACACAATGAATTGTGTTATTTTTCATAATGCATTTATAAGTGCTTCTAAGTCTTAATAGGAACCACATAGGAACGACTATTCTTACTATAGTATTTCCAGAGTCGTCAATAAAAAATACCACGAATCGTTCGCTATGGGGAGGGGTGGCGTGCGGCGCATTCCTACATGCCGAGCATTTCCATCCGATATTGCGCCGCCATTATACCCTGCTCCTCGAGCCCGCGCTACCCTTCCCCTCGCCCTTTAATTAAACGGTGAGGCTCGAGAGACACGTCTTCACTAGGAACGTGGAAAATCACATAAACAGCTCCTAAGTTAACACATGCATAGGTAACCCACTTGCAGCTAAAAATGACAATCGCCTTTTTATCTACATCTTCATAATTTTCAAATAACAGGTGTACACTATGAGCGCCAAATATTTTTATTTCATTTGACTAGAGATTCAGATTTAGTCGGTACATTCGTGTCCATAGCAACAACAAGGTGAAACAATGCGTGTAATTTAACAACATTAACCTCCTTTCTCAGCACATCCGTAATAAAATAAAACTGTCTCGAACAGGGCCCGTAATAGCAGTAGGCTTCGTCGACGGGTGTCAAGCGTAATGAGCGCGACTTTATCTGCTCATTTGCATGCGAAGTGTATCAGCCTCGACCTTGGCACCTCGTATCATGCTAAACGTATAGCATTCATTGCCGATAGCAGACTAGCCACGACGTGTCGATGACTTACTGCAATCTATTTACATTAGCAATGATATGTAACAATAGTTTTTGTATGCCATATATGTATATGATCTGTTCATATTTTATGTAAAGATGTCGATTTATATGTAAAGTGCAGTGATAATCCATCGGAACATCTCTCACCTTGAGAATTTCAAGTGTAAATTTAATTTTCAACGTTATTATTGCTTGATAATTCAGATAAAAAAGTCGTAAAAGAAACTGCATGTTTAAGAATATAATTAGTTCATGAAAGACATATTAAATATTTATTATTTAGTATTCCAACCCGTACTTGGATCGCTCGATGTACTGTACCCTCATCCTTCTCGTATTGAGAAGAGGCCCGCGTCCAGGTGTGGGACGTTAAAAAGATTGAATTTTTATTGTTATTGTTATTATTTTGCTATTATTGTATATGTTTTGTTCTATCAGGCAGTAATAACATAGTCTCAACGAGAGTAGAAAATGTTTGTCTAACTTTCAATCATTGATTGATAAGTGATCGTACTTTGTTTTTTTAAGCTTGTGGACATATACTAAGGCCTGACCGATTTCGATCACGGCTGGCTATCTCACTGACACTAGAAATCTGCGCAGACGTTATTATAGTGCACTAGCGGCTTACCCTAGCTTCGCTCGGATGCGGGGGTTAATAAGTTTCAATTAGATAAAATAGTTATTGCGAGTGTACCTTGGGAGATATCTATCTATATGTTGTTACGGATTTTTCTGTAAGTCTACTAAAGATCTACAATTTTCTCTTTAGGCTTAGCCAGCTTAGCCATGTAAATTTCTAACGGCGACTCGACATAACCAGTTATTTATTGTATTTTTCCGTGGGAATAAAATATTTTCCTGTTGTAAAAATAAAATTCCTAAATGTTGACCCGAGCTACTACACAAAATTTAATTAAAATCTATTCAGTACCTACTTTTTGCGTAAAATGCACACAGATAATACAGACAAAAATTTCAACAACTAGTGTATCGGGGTCTATTCTGTACACAACACATAAGGGTCATTGTTTTTAAAAAATATTTAATGTACAAATTTCGCTTTGTTACTATTTTATTATACGTATTATTTATTAAGTGCACTCTCTATTCCTTTAACTCAGTCCCATAGGACTATAATCTAATCATTCCGGAGACAGATCAAGTGCAGGACCGACGGTTTTACGTATCTTCTCTCTGAGGCGTGGGAGTGAATTACCGCCAATATCCCAACTCCAAGCTGCTAATGAGAATTTTATTGATAGGAAAACATTAACTATATTGGCGCGACTCGAAACTGAACCTAGTGTCTAAGGATCTGTAGCCGAACCACTATACCAAAAAAACCAGTTACATACTCACATACATATTTTTTTGTCCAGAAAACCTCACTAAGATTTAAGCTTTTTTTTAATGAAATTACATATAGACACTAACACTTTAATTATACATTGAAATGTCCTTGAGGAAACCTATTACTCCTAAGGTGTGCAATAAAATCATTCATTGTGTAATAGCACGGTCATTCCATAATAAACTTTACCAAGGCCTCAGAAAAAGAAATCGGCGTAAGAAGTCTAGATTTTTTTTTACATAATTCACAATATTTTTCATATTTTACCTACTTGAAAGTAATGTTAGAAAAATCAGGTCATAAAGGTGATTTATACGTAAATATTTGGCAACAAATAAAAAAAAAGACAGAAGCTGTCAA